CTGTGGGTGGGGCATGTGGCTGGGAGAGAACACTCGAGTGGCCATGAGAAGGTTGGCCAAGAGCCTGCTCTGTTACCGCTGAGTGGGGAGCTGAGAGAGGTGGGGAATTGTATTGGTCTCATCCCAGCTGGATCCCCACTTCACTGTCACTCCCTGGCACAGAGCAGGGGATCAGCAAGTGTTTGAGAATGAATGGGCAACGGGCCGGCCTGAGGCCAGCTCTCCTCTCTCCCTCCCCTTTGCCTTTTCCAAGCAGCCTTGGGGATTCTGCAAAGACCTCCTAGGCCCTTGCATCCATCCTGCCACCTCTTGGGCTCTGATTGCCCTAGGCATGGTCCTATCTCTCCTGTCAGGGTTGTTTGTTCCCCAGGGCCCTACACTAGCACCAGCTCTGCCCCACTTATCTGGGCAACATGAATTTCTAACCCCAGGTCTGTGCCATACTTCTGTCAACCAGGGCCTGGCAGTCCCCTACTGGGAGGAAGGCAGGGGTGGAATCCTCCATCCACAACTGGAAACCACACAGGTCCCAGCAACAGCTAATAGGACAAAGTGAGCCCAGTTTACTGGCTTACTGGATTACTGAGGAAGAGCTGTGTTACCAGCCCAGTGACAACCCCTCTGCTGCATCCCTTCGATAGGAATGGCAAGTGCCAGACATGGGTCTGAGTGTGTGTGCACAAGTCAATTTTATATTTCTGCATGCATGCACAGGTACCCTTAGGTACCTGTGAGGGCATATATGGATATGTAGGTGGGTCCGTATGTCTTGAGGCCCGTGTTGTATGTCCTTGCCTGTGTGTGTGTGTGCGCGCGTGCACATGCACTGGTATAGCCAGTTCTGGAACGGGCAGAAGCGTTGCTAGCTCTTTCACAGCCCACTCCTGGCCTGGTTTAGGCATTACTCGTCTAAACATCATCCCAGATGGATATCCAACCAAGGGCTGGGCAAGAAGCTGTCCCAAGGTTCAAGGGCAAGCAGAATGAGTCTGGGAACAGCAGGTTTCCCACTGCAGCCTGGGAGGGCTTTATTGGGCATAGGTGGGCTTAGTCACCAGCAGCAGGCATGGCAGACCCCATCCCAGCCCAAATCCCTGCTCACACAGATGGGTTACAGACCCCGTTAAAAAGCCATGCTCAGTGTAATGGCACATGCCTCTAATCCCAACACTTGGGAGGCAGAAGCAGGAGGATCTCAAGTTGAAGGCCAATCTGGGTTACCTAGCAAAACAAAACTAACCAACTAATAAATGACAAAAAAGAAAGCTGCCCTCCTGGTAGTGAGCAGGAATGCACCCTAAATTTTTGATAGCTTCCTTAGGATCAGGAGGGCAAGAAACGGACCCTCTCCCAACCTCTAGCATATGTCACTTGAAATATGGTGCCCCCATCTCTAAGAAATCCACGGGCAGCATGGTTTTATTTCCAAGATGCTTAAACTGTTTTGATGACATAGCTCCTGGGTTACTGAGCCACATGGAGGGGGACAGTGAGTATCAGTTCACATCTGATCTTGGAGACCCTCAACTCCTCTCAGAGAAACTGCCAAGGGCCAAGAATCAGTCCGCCATGGTGGCCAGGCCTTGCCCTGGCCAGGGAGGCCCTTTTTCTGTGTGGTTCTGGGTTGGATGTGTGCAGACAGGGAAGGCAGATCCAAATGTACCTTGTAGGTCCTGGCCTAGCACTTTTGAATGACTAAGGATGACAGGGATGGAAGAAGAGGAATGTACTTGAGAATACAGACCTACCGTTTGGGCATCCAAACTGAGGAAGTCTGGTGGGGGATGATGAAAGGTGGATGAGCAAGGATGGGGGCAGGGGTCCTGGGAGAATGCGGCAAGGGAGCTAGCTAATCTAGCCTGGAAGATCAGAGAGGCCTCCCAGAGGGTGACATCTGAGCTGGGATCAGAAGGCGGGCAAAGACTGCTGGGAGAATGATGTCCAGGCCGAGGGAGTGGAGTAGATTGTACAAAGGCTTGGCTGGAGGTATGTGGGAGAGAGGCAAAGCCCTCAGAGAGCTCAAACAGATCCCCCTGAAAACCTCCTCCTGGGACCACAGACCCAGACCTATTTTGGGGGCTTTATCCACTCCTTCACCCTGCCCCTCAGGGGGACCCTGGCGAGCTGGGCACCTCTCCTCTGGGCTGCAGGTGTGTGTAATGGAAGGGTAGGAGGGAGAGTAGAACTCAGAAGGCCAGGAAAGGCTGCCTTCCACAACAGAAAGAATGTCTTTGATTTCAAGGCCTCATACAGGGCATAAGGTTCCCGCCAAGAAAGACCCTCTCCCAGGTACCCTCTTCCAGCATCCCTGAGGGAAGTCCTCAGCTGTAGAGCCTCCACTCAGAACAGAGGCTTTGGGCCTTTGCACCAACCTGAGTGAGGGGGCCCCAGGTCCTGCTGGCACCACACAGGGCCAGGCTGGTTCTCTTGCTGTTCATTTGCTCCCTCTGTCACCACCTCCCCACATGTTCTCACACCCTGCTGAGTGTACCCCCAACCCAACCAGGAGCTTTTTCAGTTCTAGGAATCCTCAGATCTCCTGCAGACATGTGTCCCCTTCACTCCCTCCCCGCTCCCAGGACTCTACAGGGGAGAGAGACAAGTGAGGAACCACAAGCTAATGTGAGGGGTGGCAGGGGCCCCCTTTCTTCTCTCTAGGACAGGGATTGGAGATTAGGGGGACCCAGAGGAGGTGTCCATTTCAATTGAGCTCTCACTGATTCCTCACTAGACCCTCAGAAGCAGGCTGCCTCAGCTCAGTGGGACATGTGGCCCAGTCTCACTTGAGGACAGCATGACTCTGATCTATTCCTTACGGATGTCTCCCTGACATCCCTAAGTGGCACAGGATCTGATCTGGGAAGGGGCACCAAGCCCAATCTGTCTCCTAGAGAAAGGGGTCTCAATTCATCCTGCAGTGGATCTGGGGGAACACTGACCAGTATTTAAGCACCCCTGGTGGAATAGAGGTGCTGCCACATGGAGGAGGGGAATGTAGGAAGGAGGGTAGCTGTGGCTGCTCCAGTCCCAGGCATGCCTGCTGTGAGTGATTCATGATCAGCAGCCTGCCCTCCCCTAGGGGACTGCTCAGGCCTTCTTTCTATTGAGTGTCGCCTCCATCCCTGATCCCCAACACCCAGACTGCCTCTCAGGGAGACAGCCTCAGAGGATGTCTTCCCAGCTAGATGGATCTGTAGACTGGACATTGTCCAGACTAGTACTCCCTACACTTGGGGCAACTGAGGCCAAAATGTGAGAACCATACTCAGGTCACACAACACATCAGCAACTGGCAGGACAGAATATGAGTCTTAGCCTCTCAGGCCCTGGAAGCTCTGTCTACAGAGCTCAGCCACCCCAGGGCAACCCTGGTTGATTCTCCTTCACCTTTCTGGGTATTGGATCCCCCCCTGACAAGATCATCTCTGGCTGCCCTGCTGTGGCCTTTCTGGAAGTGACTGTGGGAATGATCCTGGCTACTTTGGGACATAGTCCTGCTGCCTGGGATAAGAAGACTAGGGGGAGAGGGGGGAGGCGGGGAGAGGGGGGAGGCAGAGAGCGGCTGGAACTGCTTTTTTGTGCCTTCTAGTCAGAGGTCAGCTGCAAGATCCTTTGGGTTCCAGAGGCCCTCACTATCCTCAAGCCCTATACCGTCCTGATGCCACTACCACCCCAGCTAGGGGTAGGAGCAAGGTGGTTCAGAGCTGACTGGCCTCGGCCGGGGCGGGGTGGGGAGGGTTACGACCCAAGACGTTGGTGGCACCCTGCCTGCCAGGAACAGACCAGGCAGATGGCTTCCTCCCAGGATGACCACCCTGGTTCTATAGAGAAAGCACGGCCTGCGCACGCGCGCCGCCTAAGTTCGGCAGCTTTGTTCCAACCCTACCTGCAGATCCATTCACCTCCTTTGCCCCGCCCGCCAGCGAGTCTATACACCACTCTCATGGAGACTCCTCCCACTTCCCGCGCGGGGTGGAACCGGCAGCGGACCCCGCCTCCCTCCTCCACCTTCTTTTTCGGTCGTGATTGGTCATCTGCGCAGAGTGTGCCCGCCTACTGCGGAAATTGATTGGTGCATTGAGAGAGAGACAGAGAGAGAGGAGAGAGAGAGAGAGAGAGAGAGAGAGAGGCAAAAGAAGGAAAGCAGATTATAAAGAGCGCTCCCCCTTCCACCCGCCCGGGTGGAAAAGTCACGTGGCGCTTCGCTCGGCGCTGATCACCACCAGGCTTGTAAAGCTTTCTTAAAGGGCTCCTGCTCCTTTCTCAGGGATGGTCCTTTCTAGGATTCATTCACCTCAGCCTGCGGAGGGCGGCAACGGCCCTGAGCCATCCTACCCTGCCAGTCTCCTAGGTGATGATTTTCCAGCAGGCCTGCTGGGGTGAGACCCTTCAACTCAGGTCTCGGAACCTGCCGTCAAGGGGACGATGCGGTCACCGTGATGCAGTCGCCTAAAACGGTGGCCGCTTAACACAGTGACTGGCACGTAGTAGGCGTTCAATTTCCATTTGTTGAATGAACTCGATTGAAAGAATGAACAGGCGGGAGGAGGGGAGGTTAGCTTAGACTGACCTCCCCCCCCGCCCCAGTCTGGGGCAAACTGCTTCTGTAAGTGTGGGGTGGGGTGGCAGGCATAGGACGCCTCCAGGGCAAGCTCTTCCCGTAGGGTACAGAGGAGCTGAGAGCGCACTAAGGGAGGACCTAGTAGGTCTTCTTGGCTGGGCCCCCCTAGGCACGTTGAAACCAGTTCTGTGCTAAGCCAGAGGGCAGAGGCGGGAGTAGGGCCCTGGCGCGGGTCTCCGGGAACACCGAACCGAGAGCGCGCCCGCGTACCCCGCGGGGAGGGGCAGCGGGGGCGCGGCTCCTTTAAGCCCGGGCGCCGGCCTCGCGGCCCCGCCCCCCGGAGGACGCCTGGGCGCGCGGCCGCGGGAGCCGCTGTTTAATTGGGGCTGTCAGGCCGCGGCGCGCGCGGAGGGCTGGCGGGCGGGACTGAGGCCGGCAGGCCGGGAGGCCGGGGCGGCGGGCGCGCAGCTCGGCGGGAGGCGGGCGCCCGGAGACGCGGCTGGGGGCCCGCGCGGCCCGGGCGCCGTCCCAGGGCAGGACTGCCCGGCCCCGGCCCCGGGCCGCCGGCGCTCCCCAATGAAAAACCAGCTCCGCGGCCCCCCAGCGCGGGCGCACATGTCGGCTTCGGGGGCGGCGGCAGCTGGGGACACCCGGGCGGGGTCGGAGCCCGGTGCGGGGTCTGGGTCCGGCACCGGCACCGGGACGAGCGCGGCGACGGGAGCGGGGGCCATGCCCTGCAAGAGCGCCGAGTGGCTGCAGGAGGAGCTGGAGGCGCGCGGCGGCGCGTCCCTACTGCTGCTGGATTGCCGGCCGCACGAGCTCTTCGAGTCGTCCCACATTGAGACAGCCATCAACCTGGCCATCCCCGGCCTTATGCTGCGCCGCCTGCGCAAGGGCAACCTGCCCATCCGTTCCATCATCCCCAACCACGCCGACAAGGAGCGCTTCGCCACGCGCTGCAAGGCGGCCACCGTGCTGCTCTACGACGAGGCCACGGCCGAGTGGCAGCCGGAGCCCGGCGCTCCCGCCTCCGTGCTCGGCCTGCTCCTGCAGAAGCTGCGCGACGACGGCTGCCAGGCCTACTACCTCCAAGGTGAGGGCAGCACCTAGACCCCATACGGGATTGGGGTTTGGCAGTCGCTCCCCGACACCCCCGCTGCAGGCTGTTTCCTCTCCATGCGCTGGGCCAGCCTGGGCGCCACGTCGCCCCTGGCCCGTATCCGCCCTCCCGGGAGCCTGTCCCCCCAAGGTGTGGGTTTAGGCAGGCGCGGGGGCTCCCTCTGCGGCCCCATTCTTAGCACGATTCGAGTGGGTGGAACAAACTTTTCCTTGCCTGGGGTTTTCTTTTTCTTTTCTTTTCTTTTTTTTTTCCTTTTGGGGCGACAGCAGGGCATAGGCTCCAACTGAGCTCTGAGGAGGGAGAGGCCTCCTCCTGGAACCCCAAAAGCGGCAGGGCCCAAGTCTAGCCTGGAATTCATGTCCGTGGAAGGGCAGGGTCAGGGAGGGCACCTCTCTCGGCCAACCTCCTGTGCATGGAGACCATTTAGGTTGGTGTGTCCAGGATCCCAGTATAGCCCCCACCCTCCTGATTGCTGCCTCTTGGAGGCACTTGGACAGGGCTTAGTCTATTGGCTTGGCCCAGGGTCCCGGAGGCCCCCCAGGTCCCAGTCTGCTACCTCAGAGCTTGTGAAAGAGGGAGGCAGCGGGTTGGTGGGGAGGGGGGGGCGGCGAGTGACTGCAGCCCGGTGTTTCCAATTAACATTCCAAAATGGCCTCTCCCTGGCAGCCAAGCAGGGCAGGCGGGAGGGGAGGGGAGGCCTGCGGCACCCTCGGGCGCAGGGCCCATGCCTAGCTACAAGACGCTCCCCATCTCTCCCGGTGGCCATCTCTACATGTCCTTGTGTTCCAAGGGAGGGCTCCAGAGAATGGAGCTGGGACCCGAGTCACAAACCCACCTCAACTGGGGTAAAGGACCAGTCAATACCTTTAACTACCTTCCCCAGGGTTGTGTTTGGGGAGTGGGCAACCAGTAGAGGTCCAGGCCCTCCCTGCCTCTAATTGACCCAGATGTGGCTGTGTATCTCATCAGGAAGAGGGTTTTCAAACCCACAGGTGCTTGCTAGAGGTGGGATTGTCTGCTTTCTTTTCCCCTTGGCTGTTACTGAGCACTCATGGATGCTAGGTGTACGTGGGAGCTGCAGAAGAGGAATGAGCTGGGGCTGTCCTCAAATGCCCTGAAGCTGGTGATTTGGACAGTGGCCCTGAGGTGTGATGGGAAAAGGCTCAGAGCTCAAGCCTCAGTTTTCTCATCTGTCAAGTGGCTGTAGGTTAGATGAAAAGAACACAAGAGAGGGGCGGTGTAATGGGCTTGGTGTGGCTCACATTGGCCATTAGTGTTGTGGTGCTTGATATGGGGGGCCCTGGCCATCAGTGGCCCCCTGTGGTCCCTTTGGGCTTTCAGCAGCATCTCACCCAGGCCTGTCTCATCCTGGCCTCAGGTGGTTTCAACAAGTTCCAGACAGAGTACTCAGAGCATTGCGAGACCAACGTGGACAGCTCGTCCTCACCAAGTGGTTCGCCGCCCACCTCGGTGCTGGGCCTGGGTGGCCTACGCATCAGCTCTGACTGCTCAGACGGGGAGTCAGACCGAGAGCTGCCCAGCAGTGCCACCGAATCAGACGGCAGCCCTGCACCATCCAGCCAGCCAGCTTTCCCCGTCCAGATCCTGCCCTACCTCTACCTCGGCTGCGCCAAGGACTCCACCAACCTGGACGTGCTCGGCAAGTACGGCATCAAATACATCCTCAACGTCACGCCCAACCTACCTAACGCCTTTGAGCATGGCGGCGAGTTCACCTACAAGCAGATCCCCATCTCTGACCACTGGAGCCAGAACCTCTCCCAGTTCTTCCCTGAGGCCATCAGCTTCATTGGTAGGTGTTACTCTGCGCCATGCACAGTGGATGGGTGGGTGTGTCAAGGTGTGTGCAGGATGCTGGGTGTCACCCCTGCCCAACTGGGTACCTCTGGGCCTGTCGAGACTTGTGTGTGCCCTGCATGTGCAGGCGTGTGCTCGTGGGTGTACCCCTGCCTGCTGTGACTCATTGAGTCCCTCAGGCCCCTCTACGTGTTGGGGCCTGAGCAATCCCCCAAATCCTGTGCTCCCCCAGGTGTTGGCACCTCGTGGGTTCTGTGTAGTCCGTCTTATGTTTTTTTCTGGCTTTTCCGTTGTTTCGGGCTTAGCTAGCTGAAGTGTCACAGCCCACAGACTCCCACCGGTCTCGCTTGCTCTGCATCACGCCTTAGCACATGTGTCTCTCCAGGATGGGGCTGACATGGTCCCTCTTTGGGCTTTATTCAGTTTTTTTGTTTTGTTTTGTTTTGTGTGGTACTGGGGTTTGAACTCAAGGCCATGTGCTTGCTAGACCAGCACTCTGCTTCTCAAGCCACACTTCCAGATCGTTTGGGCTTTAACTGTGTACTTGAGAGGGCTGGAAGGTAGTCCTGGAGCCAGAGACTTCTCCCAAACAGGCAGCTTTTGGAATGTGGGGCCCCAGAGCGTCTCTGTGAGACCCCCACTGCTCTTAGCAGCCTGTGGGGTTTGCTGAGAGCCTAGGGGATGTTTTGAAAAGGTGGGGGAAGCCTGAGAGAGGCTGATATCCCCAGCCTCAGCTGACTTGGGCTCCCCCTCCTGCTTCCTCCTTGGCCAGCTGGAGGCTTTCAGCCCACAGGTTGTCTCCCTTGGCCTTTGGTCTCACCCAGGCTGCAGGATAAATACAAGCCCTGTACTCTCAGAGCCTGGTGCCTTAGTGTTTCAGCCCAACCTCCTGTGGCAGGGTGGGGGTGGCCTGGGCAGCCTTTTCCAATGGCGATGGCGGCTGACTGTGTCCAGTGGAGGGCGTTTGGTGTCAGCTGGGCTGGGCTAGCTTTAATAACAGGAAGTGGAGGCTTCCCCGCCTCATCCGCTTACTGGGAACCAAAACTAGGTGCTTGGCTCTGAGGAAGGAAGGGAGCTGAGGCTTGCGGGAGGGGCTGCCACTGAGGCTGCCGGGAGCTTCCAGCCCTGCCTCGGGGACACCAACAGGCTATAGGTGCTGCCTTGGCATTGGAGCTCTCCCAGAGAGGAAGGGGAGCAAAGAGACAGACCCTAGGGCTGAGTTGGCTTTTATCCTTTGTGAAGGCTCTTCCCCATCTGGAGGGGGGGGTGAGAGGACAGAATAGAATGCAGAGGTGGAGGGGCCCTACTTGACAAGTGACAGAATTGAGACCCAGGCATCCCATAGAACTGAGTGGGACAGGATCAAGCCACAACCTGAAAGGGCTCCAAATAAAGCCAGCAGCAAAAGCTTCATTGTGGGTCACCCAGGAATGGGGTTGGGGACCAGCAGGTCCCACACCCAATATGTCACTCCTGGAGGCCTTTCCCCACTACACTCTTCTCTTGACCAGATCTCAAGGTCAGATCACAAGGCTCCTGGAGCAACATCTGTCTCCACCCCATTAGTCTGGTCCCCAGTGTCAATATTGTGGGGCTACCCTGTCAGTCCCTGAGTGTGGATTAAGCACCTACTGTATGCCTGGATCCCCTCTGATGAGCGGACATGGGGAGGGGAAGTTGTGTCAGGCTAGAGGCAATAAGGAACAACTCATGGACTTGTGTGTCATTTTGTAGAAGAGTGCCAACTGTGTAGCAGGATTCCAGTGGGTTTGAAGTCAGAGAGGACCTCAAGAACCTTGGAAGTGCCTCATTAGTCCATGTCCCTGGCATAGCTATGGCACAAAGAGAGGCAGCTACTGCAGGGTGCGGGGGGGCGGGGGAGGACACAAGTCACAGAGCTGAGTTGTTAAGTAGCTCAGCCAGTATTTACTGAGTTCCCACTGTGTGTCAGGCTGAGAGTCTGAGTGCAGCACTTGGGGAAGCTGGGAGGGAAAACAGTGGACTGGCCAGATCCAGCTGACTGTCTTGGGAGATGTCACTGCATGTGGACCTGCTGAGGAAAGTCTAGCAAGTGGGGAAGGTGGGTTCCCACTTGGACAAACACACTTGAGAAACTTCAGGTATGGCTATTACCTTGTCCCTGGGTGTTGCAGAGCTGGAGCTAAGGCCTCGGGGACTGGCTGAGCAGAGCACATGTCTAGTGCAGGGCCAGGCTGCCCACTTCTTTCTGAGCAACCTCCCTCGGGTCTGTTTCCCAGGATACTCTAGGAGTAAACCATGGGAGCTGCGCCCGGAGGACCAGTCACAGCCTGGGGTGCTTGCCACTTTGTCTCTGCATGTGTTCCCATGAGGGTTTACTGGCCATGGTGCAGATGCAGTTGACACCTCGTGTCCTGTGTCATCTGTGGCAAGCTGACTAACAGTAATCACAACGATAACAGCTTGTTGACCCCCTCACTTGGCTCAGGTTCTTAGGCGAGCAGTGAGGGTGAATAGGCTCAGGCAAGGTGTAGATGAGGACACTGAGGCATGGCAGAGACCTTTCCACAGCCCCACATTGCTGCCTCTCATGCTGGGCTTGACCGGGTCCCTCAAGAGTCAGGCAGTATTAGCCAGCCACCAGGATGCTCTTTGTGCCCCAGCCCACCTGCCAGGCCCCTTTGTTGGAGGGGGCCAACCTGTTTGGAGGCTCTTTGGAGATGCCACCTCCCTGACCTGTGCCCTGTGTATTTCAGACGAAGCCCGCTCTAAGAAGTGTGGTGTCCTGGTGCACTGTCTGGCAGGTATCAGCCGCTCAGTGACAGTCACTGTGGCCTACCTGATGCAGAAGATGAACCTGTCACTCAATGATGCCTACGACTTTGTCAAGAGGAAAAAGTCCAACATCTCTCCTAACTTCAATTTCATGGGGCAGCTGCTGGACTTTGAGCGGACGCTGGGGCTGAGCAGCCCATGTGACAACCATGCGCCCAGTGAGCAGCTCTACTTCTCCACGCCCACCAATCACAACCTGTTCCCACTCAACACGCTCGAGTCCACGTGAGGCCAGGCGCACAGGTAGGCGTGGCATCAGCACCCGCCCAGCCTTCTACACAGCCTGGTGGGTGCCCCAAGCCTGCTGACCCTGGCCTGAAGAACCCACAGACTTCGCCTGTCTCCAGAGGCCCAGGCTGAGCAGTGGTTGAGCTCCCTTGCCACCCTGTTGGGGCAGAGCCCACAGGCGAGGCCGCCCTCGGCAGGACTTGCTGGAGAGGCCTCAGCTCTCAGATACATGGCTGGGGGCCATCGAGCCTCGCCTCTGCATTCTGCTGATAGCCTGGCCAATCTGGCTATTTTTAAAGACATCCACGGACCTGAGTTTACTTTTTACTTTTGGCAGGTAAATCCAAGCTCCATGGAGCTCTGAGAGTGTTCAAGCTCTTCTTGATTTTTCTTCTTTTAACAAAAAGTGTTATTTTCAGGCTACATGCAACAGTGGATTGTATAAACCAGTATTTCATCCCTTTCTTTGTCCTGCAAGAGAGAGAGAGAAGTGTTCTCATTTTCGTTTTTCTTCCTATTTCAAAACAGCAACTATCAGTGTGTTTTTTGTTCTTAACGGAAAACACAAACCCTATGTTGATCTTGACCAAATGCATTTTGCACATGTGTGAATCCTCCATTTCTCCGGCAAGCCCTTCTTGAAGGGGGTGGCTTGCTGCTCTCCAGGCATAGAGCCCCTCAGTTGTGCCATCTCCCACCCATGGCCCAGCCTGACTTGGTGCAAGTTGTGCTTGGTGGGCTGCACTGGTGGTCTTTGCAGTGTCCATCTTCCCATCCGCCCTTCTGGTGGTCCTGTAGGCCTCTCCAAGGCAGAAGATGGGGGCTCTGCCATGTCCTTTTGGAGGTGGGACCACAAGGGACTGCCAGGCAGTAGCATTAGCCCTCTGGGCTCAGCCCCTCAGAGGTCCCTTTTGTAAACTTACCTACTACTTCTGTCTCATTCTCTTGCCCGGTGGCTGGGAGTGGAAGCCTAACGGCTGGGGAACACTTAGGTGATTGGGCCCAGCCCTCTCTTCCAAGTTCTTTCTCTTACCCTGGCTCTTGCTTTAGTCCAGCTGCCACTTACAATTCCCTGTCCCATGGAAACCTGCCTTGGTCACATCTTGCCTATGCCTTCTGCTAGCAGGAAACGTGCACCCATTTCAGTCCTGGGGCAGGGGCAAGTGGGGCAAAGATGGACCAGTGGAGGTATGTGAGCGTTTATCCCCCACCCAGCACCCACAGCACAAAGCCACGGATTCCGTTATTCTCCAGTTTTTGTTTCTTCTCTAGTCTTAGTTCTCATCAGTCGTCCCGGGAGCGGGTAGCTGCTGGGCCTGGGTCCCTGATGGAGCCCGCATTTAGCATGTGAGTGAGGCCACGGAAACTCCGCCCCCACCACATCTTACCTCACGGGGGGTGGTTTTCAGGGATTCTTTAGGGCAGCAGATTAAAATCTTGCCACAGTTGAGAAATTGACAAAAAGCTACCATGCTGTACATGGTTCTCTCTCTCTCTGTCTCTCTATTTTTAAAAAGAAAACCCAGAAAGATGCATCAGATTTATGTAAATGAGGGTATTCTAGAGGGTGGCCAGTTTTGCTTTATGATCTTATGAAGGAAAATTTGTGACCCTACACACATACACATATATATATATATACATATATATACATATATGTATATATATATATATGTATATATAAGTATATATATATACACACACATACACATATATCCCGAACCAGCAACGGGACTTTGTTTATATTGCAAATAAATAATTATTTTTTCTTTAAACTGAGTCTTGGTGTTCAATCAGGGTTTGGAACCTGGGAAGGAGAGGTGAGGTTGCTGTCACCTGCACCTGCCAGGGTCTGCTTCTGTTGGGGGTGGCCTGCTCATACCTTGGGTCTGCGGGCACCTGCTGGGCTGCCAGCATGCCCAGGCACAGAGGTGACCAGTGATAGTAGGGAAGGGCCAGGGCTTCTAGATAAAGCCTCAGTCTCCCATCTCTGTAAGATGGGACCAAGGTGTACTGAGACCCCAAGTGCTTTCATGTTCGCAATGATGAGCTCACATTCCTGGTGAAGGTCTGGGCTTGCAGGGGGGTCCCGAGACAGGATTAGCCATGCTCAAACCTCTACAGCGCAGGTTGAGCCTTGGCCCTCTACCCAGGCTCCCACAGCGGGGGACGGGCAGAGAGGCCCTGGGCTGCAACTGGGAGCAGGGAAGGGGCTTAGAGAAGGATGGTGGCCACAGCTCAGGGGACTGAGGCCCCCAGTGGATAACAGTCCTGTGTTACAGATGAGGATGGAGCTCCAGAATGATTTATGCCTCCTTCACCACTGGGTGCTGACTCTTTCTCCCCTTCTGCTCCTCAGCACTGGGCTGGGCCCAAGTGACGGGTGGGCAGAGCCGAAAGTCTGACCCCAGGATTTTCCCTTTGGGTTGTCCAGGCCGTCCCTTCTCTGACACTGGCCCATCGCTGCCCACAAGTCACATACGGCCAGAACACAGTCACCACCTTCACAACCTGGCCTATGACCAGGGGTAGAGGACAGGTTCTGCCAACTATGGGACCTGGGTTTGGGGGGAACTGTGTGACTGCCAGCCCTTGGTCTTCCCACACAGTGCTCTAGGCTTGAGAGTGGAGGGGATGCTGCCATTCACACAGCCCTGCAGGGTGGGGGCCAGCAGGGACAGGGCTCTCACAGCATTGACAAAGGGTTTGGGCACTGCTTTTGCTCTCAGGCTCCCTCAGGGCCTTGGTCCTTCTGTGCCAGGGGCAGGCAAGAGAGTGAGGGCAGAGACTGCCCCTTTGTTCCCTCGCACTGCCCTTGCCCAGGACTGGGGAAGCCCGCGGGTGCCGGGCTGGGGGCTGAGCCCTCAACGGGCCGTGTAAGCGCCTGGCAGTACCAGTGTGCCCAAGCACAAGGAGCAGCAGTCACTTCCTGAGCTGACTCGTCAAATCAAGGACTAGGGGGCTTGGGGGTACGAGAAGACAGCCAATCACAACTTACCTCTCATGCACTCTTAGGCCAGGTGGTCTCTCCGACCCTCACTGTCCTCATCTAGAACTTCCCGCCTCAACACTGTACTTGGCTAAGGCTCCCTGCCAGGGGACAGAGGGCCAGCTTGTGGCTGAGTGACCCGGTGTCCCTGCTCTGTGACCATGGGCTAGGCCATGCTGCTAGGAACTCCTGCCCCCACCATGGGCCACAGGCTGCCACCTCATGGACCCTGGTACTGAGCTTCTGACATGCCTGTCTTGGCCTTGCTCGCCCACCATAGGCCCTGCCTGTCCCACGCTATCCTCGGCCTGGGTCTTCGGTGCCAGCATCCCTTGAGCTTTGGACACCTAGCTCTGTGCTTTGTCTCTCCACTGGAAGGCCTGTCACTCTCCTCCTGACCCTGTCTTAGCCCCCTGGGCCCCTGTTTCTGCCTCCATCTCAGCCCCAGCCCCAGGGACTCATCTACTTCTTTGAAGCTCCTTAGCGTTCTCAGGGGAAGTGGTTCCAAGCCACTTACTCACGGCACATTCATACAGCAGCCATTTCCTGTGCTGCTGGGCAGTCCCAGGAGTGGGAGCCCGAGGGGAGGCTCGCTGATGTCAGGCTGGGTAACAGGATAATGAGTCCCTTTAGCTTGTCCTCTGATAAACGAGTCAGGTCGCAACAGCAAGAGTGACTAAGGCTGGACACCGAGAAGAACTTGTAGCACTGTGGATCAGTCACCACTTGGAAGGGGGTATGACAAGGAGACAACAAAAGACATGAACATTTCCTCAGGGTAGTCCTGCCCTGACCCTGGGGGGGGTGGCAGCCCTCAGGAGAAAGGCCTGCTCTGCCTGCCACCCCCCAATGAGGTCCCTCCCCAGAGCACAAACACAGTCACGCCTCATGAGTGGGGCAGGGCGGTATCAAGACCTTACTGGAACCTGTCCCCTCCATGCTGCTGCTGCTGCATGGCGCTTAGGCATTGGACCACCCTCTCATCAGGGTGGCTGTAGCTGGGTGGCCAACACCCACCCCAAGCAGAAGCCACAGGAATTATGTTGACTTGTGAACTTCTAGACACTCTGGTTTGGGGAGGACGTCCAGGTCCTGGTCTTTGATTTCTTCCTTCTGCTTGTTCTGGGCCCCACCAGGAAAGAGCCCTCTCATCTCCTCCCAGAGGCCACCTGAGACTAGTCCACCTGCTACCTGAGAGCCCCAGGAAGCCTCAAAATTGTCTGTCTCCCCACAGAAGGGGTGTCTTAGAGCGAGCCACTCCCCAACCCTGATGCCCGGATTCTTTTATTAGGCCATAGTGAAAGAAAGGAGCCTTCTCCCTCTGGGCCTACGAGGGACCGGACACACAGTCACACATGTGCGCACTCACAGCCTCCTCATTTCTCAGACTGAACAGGCCCACGCAGGTCCTGGGCAGCTGAGGCACGCCTGTCTCTGACTGCAGCTCCTCTCTTCTGGTGTGCCTTAGGTGACTTCATCCCTTCCCAAGACCTGGCCATTAAAGCCCAGCATTAACAACTCTGGAGGCCCAATTGTCTCTGGCTGGACCAGATTAATCCTAACAGGTGACACAAGACTCCAGCCCAGACCAGAACTCTCCTTTGCCCAGGTGGCCAGCCCCCTCCCCAGGGCAGCCCTGTTGCCCACCTCCAGAGGCATGGTCTATTCCGTAGCTTCCAGCACCGTGCCTTTACCTTCTGTGGCCTCAGGGCTGTAGGCAGAGAAGGAGCAGCAGTGCTCTTCACCAAGGGTTCCTAAAGAACTTCAGGGCCCAGGCTGCCAGGGGCTGATTGTCACTCTCAGATGCCCTAGTGCTGAGCGCAGAGCAGCTGAAAGGGCAAGTGTGCAGATCAGGGGACGGTGAAGAGACTGGGACACTCATTTGGAGTAGGTCAAAAGGGCTGGACCATGTGGTTGAGGAGGAGTCAGTTAGAAGACACATGTACAGGACCGAAAGGGCTGCGGCTCCATGGGAGGCAGGCACCACTGTGCAAGCAGGGAGTCCTGGCTTGTCTGTGTCCAGGCTGAATGTCAGCCACTGTGGGTCCTAGCCTGGAAGGCTGTGTCTTAGCAGGTCTCCAGGAGCCTCTGAGTCCCCAGTCATACCCCGCATCCCTGAGGGGAACCCGCCCCACCCTCACTGTCATCTCCATACTGAACACCCAGAGAGAGTCAGGGTCACCAAGGTCTTCACACATGCCAGAGACTCTCTGGGGACGGTGTGATGCTGATGGCCCCTCTCAGAGCCTAGGAATGTGAGCCACAGGGCTGTTGGTGTGACCAGGAATTTCCCATCCCTGCTGAGGGACGCCTCCTGGGGCAGCCACTGCTCATTTGCGGTGTGATCTTGGGAAAGTCTCCCCTTACCCAGTCCTCACGCAGGTGACAGGAGAATAGTGACCTGAGGGGTCTGGCCCTCGAACCCAGGACCTGGGGATCATGACCCAGACCCTCATTTCTATCCCAAGGCCTGAACAGCCTGGTTTCAGTACCCAAAAGGATCCCAGGAGCCAGTGCCCAGTTTAAGAGGACAGGGCTGAAGACCAGTTAAGAGAGCCCTTGACTGGGGGCTGGGGGGGTGAGGTGCTGTGCTGAGCAGGGTGCTGATGATGGGGGGTAGCCAAGCCAGCTGGCAGGGCTGGGTTGGGCCAGGCCTCCCTCTGCCCCAGAAGAACCCCCTTTGCTATAGCCCACTGAGAATATTTCTTCCTTCCATCTCCACCCCTCCCACCCCACAGGGGACACCCCTATCTTCTTCCCTTCATCCCGAAGTCCAGAGAAATTGCTTCCAGGAGGAGGGCACCTAAGTGAGCCGTGGTCCCTGGTCACAGCTCCACCGCCTGCCCCTCTGTGCTGTAGTTGGGGAACAGTCTGAACTTGGACTCTAAGCTGTCCACACGGGCCATTAGAGAAGGCCTTGATCCCAGTCTGTTTCTTCAGTCTGATTGCATTCATGGCTCAGCTGTTTTCCTACCCTCCTACCCATAGACCCTCCACACTGGCTTCCCAGCCTGTCCATTCTCAGCCCTGCACGTTTAGGAGCCGCCTCCAGCTTGCCCCCCACCTCCTTTAACTCTGCCCCAGACCTGGGCTCCAAGCCCTAGAGCCACTTCTCTCCCTCTTTACAGAGGAGCTTGGGGACTGGGGATGGTACTCCTGGGGGACTGAGGTGGCAAAGGCCCAGCTCACACCTGTCCCCAGATCCCTAGAGATCAGCCCCTGCAGTCCTGCCCTGGGGCAGAGGAAGCTGGATTTAAGTCCCTCCCCTGGTGGCTGGGCATTTGGGTGATTGCACTGCTTCCCTTGAACAGGGAGTCTGAGTGTGGTTTTTCTGCATCTCTGATTCTTTCCCTGGGCCTCATGCCCAGAAGTGGCATTTCTGGGACAAACACCTGTGTTCCATTTTTCAGACTCAGCTTCAGAAAGGAAAGGCGAGCAGGACCATTTGCCATTCTCATTGGACTATTACTGCTGCTGATTTAGAGAAACTGAGTTCCAGCTGTGCAAAACGCTGGGGGTAGAATTGCCCCTCCTCAGCCTGAGCTCCTGCCTGGCAGGGCTGCCCCTTATGGCTGGCCCTGCCTTCCAGTTGTGCTGATGAATCTGGCCCTTCTGCATCTCTAACTGCAATGATAATAATGATAATAATAACAGCCCTTGCTCTGGGCCAGGGTGTCCTGTAGGCTTTACGTGAGAAACTCATTTAATCTCCCAAGAGCCCTCAGAGGGGGGTGCTGGGCTACCCTCGATGG